CTATGAGGGGGGTAGGGAACGGGGAACAGGTGTCATAGCTTGCAGAAGCTGGTCTCCCGCGCTCTGGCGCTTATTTCAAATCCGGGAGCGCTACCATATATATCCAAAAACTCGCTAGCTCCTGGCGAGTTTTTTGTGAATAACAGCCCAAATACTGCTTTGCTGAGCTGCTTACTAATGGAGAACTTGTTTGTACATGTGTTCTCCATGACATGATGCAAAAACATTCAATATGTGGTATGTTCAAAATATATCATATGTTTGTACATATGCTCTCCATAACATGATGCAAAAATATTCAACATGTGGTATGTTCAAAACATATCATATGTTTTGAAATGCTTTACCATATTGGGATGATGTTTTAGCTTAGTCATCTTTTCAATTAAGCGGTATATTACATATGCAGCCTATTTTCAAGCTCAGTGGATGGAAGCACCATATATAGCATGCCGAGAGGTGCCAGAGAGGCTTTACAGGCCCTACGCAGTTGCTAGCTCGGTTACTAGTAGGTAATACATCACACACCGTAGTAGTTACTACCACATGATTAATCAAACCTGGTCCATCACCTCGGAACAAGACACGCCAATCATTTCTATATATAAAACCAGGTAAGTCTCATGAGTCTAATTGCAGGGCGACGGCACTTATGAAGTGGCATGCTTTGCCTCGGTCTCCATCAGCCTCTTTACCGCCTCCCATCGAACCCCTGCCCTGTATTGTGTGAAGGATTGATACCAGCCAATCGTACGGTTCGTGTTTTGTTGCCCCGAGTTCTTCTGGTTGCCGGACATGTTGAACTTTTGGACTGATGGCCGTGGCGGTTCGAAAGCGTACGGTAAGTATGAGGAATCAGTCGAAAATCTGGCACTCATCTTTAACCAATTAGCTCCCACCTCCTCGACTGCTTTTGTACTGTCGAGCGCTGAGGGCGAATGCAACGGCAGTCAGAACTGGGCACAAGACGCGAAGGAGTTGAGCTTGAGAGCTGAGGGCCATGGCAGTTCGAGAGCATACGGTAAGTATGAGCTACAATGGCGGTTGGCACAGGGCACCAGATGCGAGGTAGTTGAGGATAGAGGGGTGTGGAGGAGGGAGTTGTATGGTGAGCAATGAGACCAAACTGAGAATGAAGACTCACCTGGGATAACGGCTCTGAACCGCCTTCCAGACGATCGGAGATGGCAGGTGAACCGAATGACAGTGCGTAGAGGGTACGAGGTGTGGGATAGTTGAGGATAGAGGATGTGGAGGCAGAAGAAAGTGGGTTGTATGGTGAGTGAGCAATGACACCGAACGGAGAACTGAAGACTTACCTGGGAGAAACCACGCTAAACCTCCTTCCAGACGAATGGAGATGGCTTCTGAGTCGAAGGACGGCACGCAGAGGGTTGGAAGTGCGAGATTGTGAGGATAGAGGAGTGGGCAGTGGGCAGCAGACAGCGCAGTCCATGGTGAGTAACAACACGGAAACGAGAACTGGAGGCTTACCTGGGAGCACACAGAAGACCAAGCAATGAGCCAATGTAAGTGAAGAAGATGTGAGGTGGCTGAGGATGGGGGTGGGAGGCAGTCAAAGAGGGGACAGCACGAGAGCAAGAGCAGGAGCAATAAGCGCCGAAGTACGCCAGGGAGAGCGCGAGGCATGTAGGATCACGACGCTGTGTTGGCAGACTGTATACTGAGCCAGTGAGAAAGCTCAGGCAGGTTTTCGCAGATGCAAGTAAGCTGCTCTGATGCCATCGTAGAGCGAGTGGCAGGCGGTACGCGCCCAGCTGTACAGTGCGGCAGAACCAAACCAAATGAGCTAGCAGACGCCACAAAGGCGATGGTGAGTGGGCCAGTTTCTGCGTGGCTAAGCCCCTGGACCGTGGCTGAGACGTCGGCTGCGTGAGTGGCTGGAGAAAGGTTGTTAGGTCAATACCTAACAGTTACAGTGTAGGGCCTGGTGGTGCAGGTGTTAGTGCTCATTGGGCAATTGGTGGGTTCAATTCATGCTTCCTGCGCAATTGCTTTATTGTAATTACGCTAATTACATGTCTTAGACACATGGTGTCTTAGCCACGACTGTGTCTCAGCCAGGGCCGTGTCTCAGCCAGGCCCCCGGGTGCTTATGAACATCTAAGCCAGTGTGGCTAGTCCGGTGTAACATAATAAGTTCCCGTGTCTAGGCTGCCGAACTGAAACTCTTGATGCGCGGGATGTGACCTATCTGCTAGAGGTCCTGTACACCCCATCGTGAGCTCTTCTTGAAGGTATCACGGGAGGCACAAGTTGATCTCGATGACAGCTATCTACAATCCAACATTTAGGATACATAATTTGCGACGGATGTATACAAGTTGATGTCTGCCACTACTAAGTATCAGATCAATCCAATTTGCAAGGCCATCGCTCACCATCTCAAGAAGTAGTGGCCAGGAACGCTCCAAGAACTTGTCCATGATTCTTGCAGGATCACTCTAACATGGACCCACAAGAACTATCAAAGATTCTATTCCAAACTTGCCTCAGCCATACGCCTCGCGACCGACTTTAACGTCTTGGAGATTCTTACGATAGCATATTACGCTTTGTCAACATATGAGATCAACAAGCGTTACCGTGGAGGCCTGGATGTCCGCGATGGAACCTCTTAAGCCAAGAGGAGCTCTTCCAATGCCACAAGGGGAAGTTTAAGCTGATAGAGGAGCTTATGCATGTTGAGTGGACTTACCAGAAAGCATACAGCTGCACTGCCGCCATCCCTGGATTTGACTACAAGAATAGAGGCTTTGAAGATAGCTCACCCTGTCGCAAGATCATGCATGACATCGAGATGTGATGTAGTGCTCGTTATTTTGCAGACGCAAGTTTCGCATATCGCACTTTCGCGCTCATAGATCCCCTAGACTCTTTAGACAAATTGTCTCAGCAATCATCGACATGGGAGCTATGCACGTGTTTCAAGGCGGACAACACAATATTGAACATAGAATGAAGGGAATATGGAAGAGGTTTTCCTGAAACGTTCTCTCTTTTGGGAGGTATGTTATCAACCCACTATTCTCACGGCAATGGCTAAGTGCGTAACTGGAGAGGCCCTTGCCCGAGCTATAACAGGCCGTTCTCAAGCTTTGATATAGTGGTCAGTGTTAGGGATAAACACTGTCCGAATGCATTGCACAGCAGACTGAACTAGACAGAGGTGTCCGGGGCGTTAGATACGAGATAACGAATGGTCTTCATTTGCTTCAGGTCTTTCCCCCATTCGCTGAGGAATGGAAATAACATGGGACCGCACGGCTGCGCACTCTTATTCGAGCGAGTGATTCGTCGATACGGTCTATGCAGATGATCATAAATGTTTATCTTTGGAGTTCCCGGGAGTCCGATCCTTTGATGCTGTTAATATTCTTGCGCCCTTGAGCATTTTCTACCACAAAAGCCAGCCAAAAATCAGGCATGCTCCACGCAACGCTTCAGAAATCCTCTTTGGGATCTTTTCCATAAATCATCTTCAATGTCGCTCATTCTGTCCCATTGAACTTCGTTCTCAGATGGGCGACTCGCATTTCCGCCGCGGAGCTCGGGAGGATAGATAGATATGCCTATTTCCAGGGTCCTGTCGCGGCGCAACTTAAGTTTGCCACGTGGGTGACTGTAGTTTCGTATGTGCTACACCTTCAATACGTTCATGCAACATTCAACCTCTGAGTTGGCACAAACCCAGAAGCTCTGAGCATTCACAGATAAGGGTCAGCCAATCTACACTCCTCTGAGTATCGAATAACGAAATGCATCGATAGCGTGCACCACATTTTAACTAGTATAGTACTTGGACTTCAACGATGTCGGAGGCAGCAAGCAAACTGCAGCGTCACCCTATGCTCTACAAAGCTACAGGAGATATAGTCATCTCTGCCACAGACAAGAGCATTCTCCACCGCTTTTGTGTACACACTGTTGTCCTGGCCAAACATTCACCAGTGTTTGCTGATATGCTCACTCTGCCTATGCATGAGGTTGACATGCAGAAGTACGACAGGATACCCATGATATACCTTCCAGAAAATGCCAAGGATGTTGCATCCTTGTTGGAGGTCCTCTACACGCCGAGGTCAGTCAGTCTCTTGATCCATTGAACCTGATATTCAAACATTTGCACCACGGAACAGCTCCCCACTGTTCAAGAGATCAGACTGGGCATTCGCTAAGGAAGTGTACGGCTTAATGTCCACTGTGACAAAGTATCAGTTTGACTCCATCTGCACAGCTATCGTGCATTACCTCAAGTCAGAGTGGCCAACGACCCTTGCAGAATTTGTCCGATTTAAAATGGACATCTATCATGATCACGCTTTTGCTGGCCCCTTTACGAGCGCTGTTTGGCGTTTCCCAGAACCGGCCTCTGCTATACGGCTCGCAATGGACTTCAATGTCCCAGAGATCCTCCCCGTGGCCTACTATCACCTTGCGACGCAGGACATCCACAGCCACTCGGGGGTCGGAAGTTCACCAAAGTGGTACTTACTTCACGATGAAGAGCTGTTGCACTTCTACCAGAGCAAACACTGCATATCTAGGGACTTCATCAGGATATGGCCTCTTCACGGGTCTAGTAAGAACAATGAGTGTTTGAAAACCTATCAAGACTCCAATGAAGGCCTGCATGACAGCTCCAAGTGCTGCCAGGCCATTGAAAGCGCCGAAGTTAACTGGAAGGCAAGATTCATAGACTGCAACAACGTTCTGGCACGTAGCGACCCCATAGATGCCCTCGTCAAACTAAACACAGAGTGCGAGGGCTGGGAAGTCTGTCGCCCATGCTCAGATGACTTTCAGAGCAACTGTCGGAGCAAGATAGAAAAAATATGGATAAATCTTTCCAAGACATTCTCTTTGGGCCAGGCATGTCCTCTGATATTCATCCTTATCCCTATGGATCTTGACACCGCAAATTCTATAGGAATATCTCATACGCTGCCCTTCTTCATTCCTCGGCCTTTGTCTAGTGAGCCACTAGATCTCAAGACGTGGAGAAGTATAGTGACGAGTGTGAGCCGATTCTGTTTTCCTAGATGTTCATGTCTCTCGTATGCCATTTGAAGAGAGGTATATGTCACAGAGATCATGATTTAATCGTGCATTGAAATGCTGTCAAGCAAAGTGCGGGAGTCGCTGGAAAGGAAATGCAGCAACTCAGTTGAGATAAGCAAGCGTGCATGGCTGCAACTGGCAGTTTTGATTTTATGTACTTTGTATGCGAGAAGCGCAAGCAGCGAGTTCTTCAATTTAAGCAGACCCGAGCCTACTAGAGGGTTTTGTGGCCACCTTGAGCATATTCATGACGAGCTTGTGTAACACTGGCAGTTACATGGTGACTATGTGATGTGACATGACTGTTGGATCATCTGCGCATACCTTCGTCATCTGTTCTCTAGCTCACACCGCAACAACGAAGGTATGTCTGCACACTGTATATTAGTTATCTTGAGCTCACACTGCAATGACGAAGCATATTCTTGTTATATTGTCTGACTGAGCATTTCTGGCATACCGTCGCTGCGTGGCTTCCAGCTCGCTGCCACTGGCAGGAGATACGAGAGCCAGACTATCAAGGGTGTTATTGGACAAAAATAGATGCTCACTTTCGCCCCAGCTACAAAAGTTGATTTTCACTGAGCGCCTACAGCTTTTCATGTGCGATCGTGCACTTTCGTGCTAGTTCGACTGCTAACTTGCGCTAGCATGCATGAACGCACACAAAAGTGTGCTAACTTGCGCTAATGTGCACGTGTCAAAACTGGGCGATTACGTCATTGTCCTGTACGGACTAATGGAGATACATCACATGACCCCCGATTATGTTGTAGTAATACGGACTAGATTACTCATGCTTACTGTACATGCTTACATATAGGTAGTACTATAGGTCCCTTAGCTGTATCAGGAGTCCTGAATCTCATGTATATATACTGGCCCTGTAGCACGGAATATGATAAGAGTTCAGTCGCACTTTCACATGTTATGAGCCCCGGCCTCACGGCCTCTCTACCTCCACTCTACTAGTCTCATCGCTGAAGAAGACCCCTCGGGAAACCTCAGTCCCCTTCACCCAGTTTAAAACAAGTTTATCCATGCAGTTTACGAGTAAGTCTCATTGCGTGCTAGTGGCAGATGGAGCGCTCATTGCGTTCATTTCTGTGTTAATCTAGTGCCAAAAGATTTGCCTGCTCGTCCCTCTCACTCTGTTTTCCAACGGTACAAGCACTCTGCCAGCTACGCGCCCACCTCTGGCAATGCCAATGACCCCGTCGAGATCGTTCCATATGGTAAACGCCGTGGCAAAGAACTATGCCCGCCAACTCTAGTGCTCACCCTCCCGTTCCCTCTGAACTCACACGAGGGCAGGCGCCTACATCGCGAACAGTTCCGCAAGTGCTACGCAACCAACAAGGCTGACTTTGAGCAGCGTCTAGCTGCATGTGAAATCCAACAGGCACGCGAACAGATCCTCGCTGGTCCGTCTAAGCCGACACTCGAGCAGTGTCTCGCTGCAATCCCACTAGCAATACATACGCCGATCGCACCGAAGCTGGTACTCATTGGCTTCGACAAGCACACTCCTGCCAACCTTGTCCGTATCTTCACACCAAAGTTCGACGGCACGCTCAAACGCCTCGACGTCTTTGAAACTCTCGAGCTCGACGACCTCAACTCCAACTGAGTCCACAATCTCCGCCAACTCATTGAGCAACTCATGTGCATCAAGCGCTGTTTAGCGAACGTCTGCAATGTCGTCAAATAAGAGGAGTGGCGCAAGTGGGAATTAGGGTGCGGAGAAATAGGGGATATCTCATTCAAAGGGCTATGCAAGAACAAAGCCCGGATTGTACAAGCGCTTAGCGCAGTTTACGTGAACGGATATTTTGACGCGGTTAAGTTTTACGAGAACAAGTAGATACTTTGTAGCAACGCTATTGTAACAATCAAAAAAGGTTCTCTATTCAGAAACTTGACCAAACGTGTGTTTATTCCTAAGTGACAACAAGCGTCGTAGTTTAACTGGTTCCTTCATCCAATCCCAACTCTATCCATCTCTCGACTAAATCGGCTTAGCTGGGATAAGTGGTTCACTCAACAGTGTACACAATCATTACCTCTCAGGAGACAAAAACAGTATCTGAAACTGTAGAGACAAAACAGGAAACCGTCGCGGGATTCAGACAGCGACTGAATATCCAAGAAGACGACACTTCTTGGGAATTATTGACAGCATACGAACAAACCCTCGAGCTGTTCTTTATCCCACAATATTTCAATTACGTAGATGACACACACGGTCCACCGACATACAACATATCGGCAGAATTAATTAACACAGACGATGACATCATCAATTTCTTCTTCCCAACAACTTCTGATACATATTCAGAGCCCTACACCTGTTATCTCAAATAGGAAGATATCGAGACCGATCTATACTACAGACTGATCAAACAGGTCTATGACCTCGCATTCTTGGAAGAAGATTGGGAATCACTTCGAGCGACACGAGCCAAAACATACAAGCTCGATCTCAGTGAATTCTTCTACAAAGTCGCGTTAACACCAACAGAACGTGAAACACTCTACGCATACACTCGCCTCTTCTTTGTACACAATAACAATGTCATCCTCTTCTGACCCTACCAAGCTCGCCACCTCAACCATCCCACAATTTGATGGAACCAACTATAAAAAGTGGTCCGATGCGATCCAAGCCTTCCTGCGTTACCAGGGCGTCTGGTATTTAATCCAGGGATACGGCTCCACCGTGACCGTTCCAGTCCCTGGCCTTGCTAGACCAATCCCTGCGACAGGTACACCCACGGCTACGGAAATTGCAGCTCAAGCTGCATGAGATGAGAAGAACGACAAGGTGCTGGGAATCATCCAGCTCTACGTTGCGCAGAACCTCTGTCATCTCGTCGATGACAAATTCTCTGCTCTGGATGCATGGACCGCAGCCAAAGCTGGCTATGAGAAACCCGGAGTGGTAGGCACATTTGTCGCCTTCCAAAAGCTGTTCAATGCACAGCTCTCTGACAGCTCCGCACTTGGCCCACAACTCGACGTGCTCACAGAGCAGTCCAACTAGGTCAATGTGGCAGGAGTAGAGGTCAAGCCTCAGCTTCTTGCTCTGCAAGTCATACCAGACCATCGCTGGTACAATTCTCACTACACAGACTGATGTTATGCTGCTCACAGCGGCGCTCATCAAGCCCAAAATTGTCGAGAAGAAACAGCGCTGTGTTGCAAACCGCACTCAGATTGTGCGCATCTCGAAGGCACCTCTCCTTGATAAAAAATGTGAGAAGTGTGGTCGCAAGAATCACACAACGGAGCAGCACTGGAACACAAAGCTGGCAAATTCTGGCTTGAGTTCTAGTAATGGCAACAACACGCAGCAGCAGCAGGGTGGTGGAAAGCACAAGAAGGGAAAAGGAAAGGGCAAAGCGAAGAACAATACTTCAACGACCACACAGACAGTTAACACTTTACGATTAGTCGATGTACCACTAGTAGCTAAGATTGAGAAGGAATCCATCTCTGTTTCTCTTTATGCTACGGGTGTCAAGTCTAAGTGGATGGTCGACAGTGGTTGCACGACACATGTCACATCGTACAAAACTGACTTCATTTGGTATCATGAATTCCCTAAGCCAGGCCATGCACACACAGCAGGCAAGGGTCAGACTATCGAAATAAAGGGTCACGGTGAAATTGCCCTGCAACATCGGCTCACAGATGGCTGAATTCAGCATATCTGGTTAGAAACCATATTATACGTATCGGAAGCGGCAGAATGGTTCTTTGCGCCCAGAATGCCTCTCAATAACGGTCACCGTATTGAGATGGATGGCAAGAAGTTTGCATTACTCTGCGGGCCAGACCCAAAACAGCGGATAGTTTTAATGGAGGGCAAATATGAAAAGTCGTCAGGTTTATATTGGCTAGAAGCTGAAGTCCTCACTAGGACCAGCGAGATTAAGCCAGGAACGTTAATGTCAGTCAAATCCGACAATCCATATACTTTGTGGCACCGTCACTTCCGACATGCTGGGAAAAAATCTATTGTTCAACTACCTGGAAATGTCAAAGGCCTCCCGGACAAGATCTTTGCTCCAACTAGGAATACTCCCTGTGATGGATGCGAGTTCGGGAAGTCTCGTCGCAATGCATTTCCTGCATCTGACAGTCGTGCAGATCATCCCCTCGACTTAATTCACATGGATCTTGTCGAATATCCGTCGCTATCACTCAACGGGTACAAGTTTGCCCTGACCACCCTCAATGACTATTCCTCATTTGGTTTAGTCTGGTATCTGAAACAGAAGTCTGACGCCTTCTCTGCCTTCAAGCAATTTGTCGCTTGGGCAGAAACACAGGCTGAGCGCAAGCTCAAGGCTATATGTTCGGACCGAGGGGGGGAGTTTTTAGGCCGTGAATTCGACGATTTTCTAGCAGAACATGGAATAGAGCGTCAACTTTCAGTGGCACGAACACCACAACAGAACAGCAGAGCAGAGCGCTGGCAACAGACTATTCAGAATAAGGCAGAAGCTATGCGACATCACGCTGGCATGACGTCTGGATTCTAGAAGCTAGCATCAGAGACTGCAGTACATATCTACAATCGACAACCTCTGTGCCATCACCAATGGAAGCTGCCCATCATGAAGTGGAACGGCACTGTTCCGGACGTATCGTACTTTTGAGTATGGGACTGCAAAGCCTATGTCCACACACATAAGGATGCGAGGGTCAATAAGCTACAGCCAAAGGCTGAAGTTATGATCTTCGTCAGGTACAAAATTGGTACAAAGGGTTACTGATTCTGGGATCCAACTACCCGGACCATCGTTGTGTCACGCAACGTCACCTTCGACGAGTCTTCCTTCCCTAAGTGAGACGAAAGGCCTCATGAGCCTGGAATGTCTCAAGATCCAATTCCACCTGTCCAACCTGACCAGCTGAACCTGGATCTAACAAGTCCAGATGACTTCACACCTGATGATCAATCCCCAGACAACGCGCATCCACCACCGCGGCAAGACGAACTGCAACAACAGGATGATGACGAAGTCAACAACAATCCAGCCGATCATTACAAACAATATCAAAGCCCTACTCCGGAACCATATGAACATCCGGAGATACCATTCGCTCCCAGTCCACCTCCTAGATCACCTCCACCTCAGAGAGAACAATACCGTTCTCGTCAGAGCAGACCATCTGGTCCATCTCGTCAGGCAGCACCACCTGCTCCTGATATTCAACAACAACGGAATCTCGAACCATAACCTGTGCCACACCCGGCCAGGCCACAGTGCAAGAATGCAGGCCAATGCCGTGTCCCTGACAACAGCTATGGTGACATCCCGCCCACAGAAGCATGGCGTCAACAGGAATGAGATATCCAACGTGAACAACGAGAAGAACAAGAAGTATGTGAACAATGTGAAATCTCTCCAATGGACATTGACAATCAACTCCGTCGGAATATATTCCAATGGATATGTCATGCTCACCAGCCTGACCCCACTACGTACCGCGAGGCAATGTCTCGCCCAGATGTGAAACAGTGGGAGATCGCAATGAAAGAGGAACTTAAATCTCAGGAGGAAAATTCCACATGGATTCTGGTCAACAGACTGAACAACCGGAGAATTGCAAAATGCCAATGGATTTATGTGATCAAGCCTGACGGCCACTATAAGGTACGTCTTGTGGCCAAAGGATTCACACAGATAGAGGGGATAGATTTTCAGAAGACCTTCTCTCCCGTCGCATGTTATGAGGCTATATGCTTCTTACTCACACATGCCGCACTCGAAGATTGGGAAATTGAGGCAATGAATATCAAAACGGCTTTCCTGTATGGCGAGCTCGACGAGGAGATATATATGGAACAACCAGAAGGCTTTGTGAAGAAAGGACAAGAAAAGATGGTGTGTCGATTAAAGAAGGCTACCTATGGCTTACACCAAGCCTCACACATCTGGAACAAGGAGGTGATGGACCAGGTTTGATTAATCATGTGGTAGTAACTACTACGGTGTGTGATGTATTACCTACTAGTAACCGAGCTAGCAACTGCGTAGGGCCTGTAAAGCCTCTCTGGCACCTCTCGGCATGCTATATATGGTGCTTCCATCCACTGAGCTTGAAAATAGGCTGCATATGTAATATACCGCTTAATTGAAAAGATGACTAAGCTAAAACATCATCCCAATATGGTAAAGCATTTCAAAACATATGATATGTTTTGAACATACCACATGTTGAATATTTTTGCATCATGTTATGGAGAGCATATGTACAAACATATGATATATTTTGAACATACCACATATTGAATGTTTTTGCATCATGTCATGGAGAACACATGTACAAACAAGTTCTCCATTAGTAAGCAGCTCAGCAAAGCAGTATTTGGGCTGTTA